ACAGGCAGCAGGTTGAGAACGCTTTTGCGGGTGGCAGGGCCGGCGTCCACCCATAGGAGGTGGGTTTGTGAAAAACAAGTGTTTAAGCGGAAATTCATAACTCCTCTTTCCATGAACCTACTGTGTTCTTATAGGCGATAGCGGACCACGGTACCAATTGGTCCGCACTGTTCCCCTCGCTAGCTGGATCTAGATATTAAGGAATGGTAACCAGCTCTCCCTAGGCCTTTCCCGTGTGAAATTGATTCGATCTACCCGGTTGTTAAAGATGTCAAATCATGTTCATCTTTTCTAGTGGAACATATGATTAGGCAGTCGTCAATAAAGCGACTACAGAGAGCTGGCCTGTCGTTTGGAAGAGGGTTCTCAATTTTTGACTGATATGCTATTGCCAGTACGGGTGCTAGCCGTTGGCCCAAAGCGAAACCCTTCATAACCTAGAATACTCAAATTTGGTAGGGTATAGGCAGCAGGATGGGAACACTCTTGGTGGGTGGAAAGGCCAGAGTCCCCTCACAGGACGTGTGGTTTGTGCGCATTGAATATTAGAGCGGAAATTCATAACTCTCCTTTTCGTGAACCTAGAGCTATCAAATTCGGTAGGTGTACAATCAGACCACCTAACGAATCATCCACCAGGTATCATGTACTTTTATGCATTGAAAAACCACGTCAATCACTATTTAAACTATACCAACGGTACAAAAGAATACACAACCTCTGATTAGATATGTTCATGGACATAAACTTTTTTCTAATAGTGCAGCATTGATCGTGGCGAATGATGATAAGGGTAAGCGGTAGGCGTGCAAGCAAGAAAGCTTACGCTCATCAAGCCATCTACTAGTGCCGTACGACTATAAAAATTAAAAGCAACTGAATTTTTGTGAAGTATAGACCCAGCATACCTACACGCGGGAAGAGGTAATGAAGCAGTAGAGGCCGTAGCGTTGGAGAATTGATACAATTTTTTCCCCATAACAAAAGCCTAACGCTGAATGCACACAAGTGAAAAAGTGCCAGTTTATAACCAACATCAACACCGCGATGCCCATCATTGGTAGAAATAGGCTTTTACAATGGCCATAGATATACAGTACCGGCCAGTGAAGTATGCGTTTTCAATTTTTCAAACGTAACTTCTTCAAAATAGCATCTTTTCCTATGGGTTTTCAACGTGAATGCATCTCACCGCATGTGATCAAAGAGCGAGTTTTCAGTAGCCTAAGTTAACTGTGGAATATTTTGAAAGACTTCAGTCAAAAAAACGGTTACCTATAATACCACTGAAACTTCAATCTGCCTGACTTTCCCATTTCTCAGCGCAGCAACTTGCATAAGAGCAAATATAACAAGTAAGGCATCAATGCTTCGTAGCATAACCTTTAGAGGCAATGATGGCCTAAATCGGTGTGACATGGACTTGATGAGTCTATCGACCTCCTCCTGAGGGATGTTCTCTCATATGACCTTAAGATGAGGAGCTTGTCGTGCTTGTTGTGGGCTCAAAGGCTTTTAATTTGACACTCGAGACAGTCCTACAGATGTTCAATAGGGCTCAGATCTGGTGATTGCAACGGCACGGTAGCAGAGGAACGGAATCAGTTGGTGAGCAGCTTCGATTTGTGCTTCGGGTTATGGACTTCCTGGAAAATTAAGTGACCGGGGCCAGTACTGTGAATGAAAGGGTAGATAACAACCTCCATAATTTTGGCGCACATTTTGGAATCCATCTTACCTTCGATGCTTCAGAGGGAGCACACTCCTTTGCCACAGAAGCTGCCGTGGACCATCACAGTACCCCGCCATATTTCACGGTTGGTAGCTGGTGACTTGCATGGCATCTGGTACCAATTGAACGTCACACAAACTTAATTTCATCCTTGCCGGACAGCAAAAACTTGGGCTTGTCGCTTTAGATGACCTTAGATTGCCCAGTTTTTGAAAGCATGAGCCCAATCGAAAAGCACTCTGTGATTATTGGCAGAATTGAGCGGCTTCTTTGCTGAACGACGTCCAAACAGACCGAACTCTTTCAGAAGACGTAGAACAGTGTTTACGGATGCATTGGTCTCTCGAGCCTCGAGATTTCGCGAAAAGTTTTGACGCGAGACATTTGCTGCACGCTGCACAATTTTTCCACCGACAAGGCATAGCGTCAATCTCGCTGCCTCTGGGTAACTTTTGACTTCGGCTGACCCTGTGACCTTGTATTCCTTCCAAATCGTTTGAACGCACATAACTGACATGCCTTGAATTTCGGAAACCGGCCTGGATGTTAAGGCTTCCTGAAAGGCCCTGATGACCGCGTCAACTTGATCTTGCCGTAACTTACAGATTCCCGAGTGCCCTGAAAGAGCCTTATTGATGTACTAGGTGCATGACATGACACAAAGAGCGAGAATTACCTCAAAATTCCTAACATAAAAACCTGAGAGTTATCGAAGGCAAACGTGTTCGTTGAAAATTAAACGCCAGTTTCGGTTTAAAATGTGCTGCTAGACGGCTGCACAAGTATAATGTTACTAACTTTTCAAATGGAAATTTGCGGAAGTTACGTTTGAAAAATCGAAAACGCATACTTTACTGATCGGTACTGTATATGTAGCTAGGAATAGAAACTTACTACCGATCGCGATGCAAAATGTTTGCCATCGTTGAAAATACTACTCACTGGAGCGAGGGTGAGCGAAAGTCTTCACTCTAATCAAAATGCGTTTCTAGCAATACGGACGGCTGCAAATCATACAGATTGGATGTGCAGCCCTAAAACGGTTAGGCGGTTATGTAGACTGCACTTTAGGAGCACTTTTTCTTCAATTGCCGAATGCTGCAGCGGTTTTCTTTACTTGTTTTGAATTATATAGCGCCGACTGCCTTCTGATTCTCATAGTTCTTTGCTGATAAAATAATAGCGAAGCAAAGTTCTTGAAAGGAAACATCTCAAAACAAAGAAGAGGAAAGCAAGAAGCAAGCATGAAAACAAGGGGCCGGGAACAGGGCTCTTATTGTAGAGCAGTTTTTGTACCTTATACTCTTGAAAGACATCAGATCCGAAACGCAAAAATGTAAAATCAAAATCAGAAAGGTAACATAGCAGGTATCAGCCATACATGACAGCAATGATGACAAGATACTGTGAATAAAATCATGCTACAATCTCGAGTACGATAGACCGCCAGTATTTCGGATGCAACAACTGCACTGGGCTGCTCCATATGGTTCCATCCAAAGCTTGACATAACCAACATCAGGTCTGCAAGACCTATAGCCAAAAAACAAGTGACAGTTCTGTTATAAAAGGCAAAGTCTTACTCTAGTCTCTAAGTTCAGTCACAAACGCTTGGAAGAGGAAATTAAACATTAAATCTGTTAAATAGCACAGATTGAAGTAGAACATGCATACGGAATGAAAGTCAGCCTAACAGTAAAGTGGGAAAGTGGAACTTTACTTGGCAAGTGGTCGCGTAAGATAGAGTTTCTCCGAACCCGATGCGAAAATCGGATTAGCGGTGTAGTGCTGGATAAGTGATGTCATCGACGGGAATGCCCGCGAGCCGATGCGCAGTTGATCACCGGTGGTCTGCACTTTGAAATGTTTGTTTCGTTCCAATCCACGCAACGATATCGAAAGATCTCCGGGCTGAAAACATTCATTGAACTGTAATACGTGATTAAAAGGGTAAAGGAAGATACAAAGCGAAAACAAACTGTTAAAATTTGATCTTAGTAGAATCAAGTAGGAGAGCCATTCGAAACAAAGAGTTAATGAACGGCAAGTACAAGGTTAACAATGGGCAGTACTATAGCGAAGCAAGTCTTTCATAAATAGATGGTGCAGAAAGGTTCGAAAAGCTAGGCGAGATGTAGTGCACAAATTGGCAGCCATCAGAAGAATTACAAAAAAGATGAAGTTCGGGCACTAAGCACTCGAGCAAGGCATGTTTTTCCTTTCTCAAAGAAATCCATTTTCCGGAATGCTAGAAATGAAGATTCTCAACCAAAAATGCGCTGAAGCATTCTTTTTTTGATTTCGAGCGCTAAGGCAGAAGTTCAAAATCATTGTTGTTAATCAATCCTAGCTATGAAATATATCTGTCTTTGACTCTCCTTAAAAATTGCAGTAGGTGCCCGGGAAGTTCTGAGAAAACTCAGTCGCTTTTTTCAACACAAAATACACAAAATAAAAATAAATCAAAATAGTGACACTCCATAGCCACAATATCTCTCCATCAAGCGAACACTAATGCCTTTTCTCCACAAAAAAAGTCGCGACGCAACTCGCTCATCTACTACTTACTTTACATCCTGACGATAGTTGAATTCATTCCCTTCAGAGTGGGCCTGTGGGCTTTTGAAAGTATAGCAGCGTTATGGGCTGAGGACAGGTGAATTAGTGGAGAGTGGAGTAGTCAGGTCATACCAAGCTTTTGCATCTCATCCATCGACGTCCTCGCGTGGGGTTGTTGAGCATTATCCATAACATTCCCTAGTGACCGGAACCGGTGTGAAATGAGCGCTCGAAACACAATATCTCGAAACACACAGTATCGATTCTTAACAGGATACTCTTGCGTATACCGCAGTACATTCTGGAAGGCTCTCATAGTAAACACCCGATTGAGCAGAGGAAAGTTAAGCTCATGTCCTTCTTGGCGTTCGCTGTGGCATTGCATCCACTAGTAGGCAAGGCTACTTCCTGTGTAAATTTTCGTATGACATTACTTGTTATCCTGAGCAATAATGAAATCGGTTAATGTCGTCGTTGGCTTACAGTCGAAGTGCTTCTGATCCATACTGACTCACACTCGACGCTCCTGCTCATTCGAGGAGTGCGATATTTGCAAAGAATCCTGCTTTGAAAGTGACTTCTGCATAGAACGTCGTGGATGATGAATTGGGGAGTAGAGATCGTCTTTCCCAAATCCTCACACTTTCTTGAGGGTTGCTTTGACGGGTCGGTTTTTGGGAACAGTGGATCTTCGCTTCGATGAAGCAGAGCGGAGCAAGCGATCGCGCCATTTATGGTAGGTGAGAAGAGAGGTTCACTGCTGCTCATCAATCGTCGTGTCTCATTCCAAGCCTGAGGGCCTAAGCGATCAGTTTCGTAGTGATGAAGTAGAAAGAGTAGTTGTGTCGACGACACACTGTACATTCGATGATTACTTACTCCCAAGGAGGACGTCAAATACCGATCGGCTGTAGAAATGATCTATCAACGATGCCTTTTCCCTCCTATCGAATCTATAGTCCTTCTTCAGCCATTCGGAAGCAAAATGTTTCACAGTTGAGAGTGAAAAATTTCCTCAAATTCTCTCGGACACCCTAAAAGTTGAGACTGGTGCCTGTTGATCACTCCAAAGTGAAAGAAGGCTTGGATGGCCCAGGCGAGTATCGATCCGGGATTCGGCTTTTGGACCATGAGCCTGGTACTACCCCCCCCCCCCCATATAGCACTAACTACACACATTTGTAAGCATTTCCCAAAGCATATCGTGCAATTGTCGCATTATAAGGTAGCATAACGCTAACCCCCTGCACAAGAGCGCGGAACTTCAATGCCTCTATGGAAATTTACTCATTTGAACTCACTTTACACGTGTCTGGCGTGATTCCAGCTTTTCTCAGGTTGCTGCTAAGGCGCGAAGGCTGGCCACATTGTTCTACAGGCACCTGTTTTCCTAGGCGCGCTTTCATCGAGATGAACGCTCGACACAAATATCAGGAAAAAGGTTACAAATATTACACAACATGCTAGTGCTACATCATGACATGTGATGTTGTTTTGTTATGTTCAAACCATTTGTAACGTGTCTGGGGTGTGTGACCGCGGCTTCAATAAAATATAATGAAAATTATCAAGATGTGGGTGCAGACAAGATGAGAATGGCATTGTTCCGAGCCGCAAGCTTCAGTAAAGTCACACTAGCGTTTTTCATATTACATATTTAATTCTCAACCGTAGTTAGAATAGTCTGAAGTTATAATCTGGTCACCATAGTTTAATAAACAATTTTCGGACCATTCCGCGTTGAGACTTTCTTGGAAGGTCAAACTTACAAAGGAATTGTACTTGGTCACAGTGGTCACTCAAGATGAGATGAGCTCCGCATTAGATGGTATCGAAAGCTGATCTCAAATCTGTGTTCCAAATGTAAACATTCTGTGAACAAAGTTACAGAACCAATTTCTATTATACGTTACCAGGCGGCCACGCACGCTATTGCGTGCGCTGGGGGCTCTAGCTATGAGGGGCAGGGCTCCATGAGCTTCTGATTTTCATTATAAACCTTTATTATCTGAGCCTCTTCCCTGGCACTTCTGTAGCGGCTATCCTTTTTTTTCGGGATGAGAAACGGGGTTGTGTGTGACGATGAAAAGAACTCTGATGTATCCAAACCAAATACCTCTGCAGTCCATGTAGTCGAAAAAACTGTGTAGTTTGGGCTGTGTGTGGCCACGAACACTAACTTTGAAAGAAAAGCTCCTTCAGGTATTTGTAGGGATTTACACGTCTCTACAGGGTACGCACATGTGTGGCCGGGGTCATTGTAGAATTCATTTCGTAGGGTCCGAAGTTAATGTAGTGCATTTGCTCTTGCGTAGAAGGGATACTGTGTGTGGAACCATGAATACTAACTTTTAGAAAATTTTTGGCCCAATTTTTTAAGAGTTTAGTGGTATCCCCTAGTTGTATGCCTATGTGGTGAGGGTTAGTGTGAAGGACAGATGTATAAATTTTTGACCTCAGCCCCGCCCCCATCTTTGCAAATC